GGAATCAACGGAGCCGTCTGACTGGCTGGATTTGCGAAGCAGTCTTATTGGCAGAACCCCTCTCTCTGCTCCCCTCTGGTGTAGATGTTTTTTTCCAACCTGTTTTTTTTTTAATATTCTTTTTCTCTCTTCTTTTTCTCCAAACTTTTTTCCTTTACAGTTTAACATTAAGGAAGTACAGTATTTTCATTCCTGCATCACATTAAGTGCCACAAAATGTCTCAGATTTGAACCCAGAATCAACTCATTGAGACGCAGCAATCCTGATCCTGTTGCTTTACAGGTTTTGTGGGTGCTGTTTACTTTCATTTTGGAAATGTTAAAAACAGCTTACAAAAAAAGTGAGACTGCTTTTATCCCTCTTGGCTCAAACTCAGAACCCTTTTGTGGAGAGGCAACAGCCTCAGCCATTACGCTACAGGTTTGCCTGGGAGTGCTTGCTTTTAGGTCCTTATTACCTCTACATTTTACTGTGTAAGTTTTGACAAGCAATTCGAAGCACATCTCAGACTACACGTTTGGAAGGCAATTGTTCCAGGCTGACATAAAGTGCCTCTGTCCTGGTCTTGAACCTGGGAGACTTTCATTGAGAGGCAGCAGCCTTCATTGCTTTACTGCACGTTAGCCTGTCAGTGAGCTTGCTTTTATCAGTCCTGGTAACCATGGATTCAATTATAAGTGAGGACAGCATTTTCTTCCCTGCTCACATGGAAAAGTCCCCGTTCTGGATTTAAATTCTGACTTTGTTTTAGCCCTCTACATCACAGGTGAGCCTCGCTGAGATTGCTTTTTAGGTGTTTTCATTTCACTGTTTCATTGTTCAAAAGCGCAGCTCAAACTACACGTGAGGAAAGCGCGTCCTTCCAAACTCGTAGGTGCTATTTTTCAGGACTTGTTTGTGTAGTTGGTTCTGTTTTCTATCGTGTTGTGTTGATACAAAAGCCTAGTCTAGACTACAGCTGCAGGAAGAACTTTCTAACTATACAAAGACAGAGCCACGTGCTTAGATTTGAACTCAGAACCTATTTGCCATGAGGTGCTTCTTTACATCTACTTTTAGTGGCATTGTGTTGATTCAAAAGCACAGTCCGGATCCCTGTGGGTTAATTCTTGGATCTGAACCCAAGACCTGTACATTGTTAGACCAAGGTGTCACCATATTCAACATTTGTCCATGTAAGTATATTATCAGTGAAATTGTTGCACTGATTTTAGTCGAGAAACGTTTGCTGCGTATCTGTTTGATCCAAGCAATAAAATAGATCCACCTTTTTAAAACATTTGTCTTTTCCATCTCTTTGTTTGCGAGTCCTCTACAGCCTTTTTGTGTTATCTTGTCTGACCACCGCACCAGAAGCAAGAATTCTCGGGCTGATGTTAAGCACACAGCTCTTTTCTTGTTAAGTTTTTCTTTTACCTTACAGGCTTGCAGTTATATTTTTACTTCAATAAAATATCATTAAAGAAACACTTGAGTGAAATATTTTAGTATCCTCCATCCTTGGAGGTATTAGGGCTGAAAGCTTGAATGCAACATTGGAGCAGGACATCATTGGCAGAGCGAGAGTCCACGGCTGGAAATCTTGCAGTTTAGATAGGCTGCTGAACATGAATAAAACAGTGTATTTGTCAGGCTATTATTATGACAGTGATGCATGGCAAATGTGAAATTAGTGCAAAATTAGTTGCCTGCCAGAAGAAACTTTCAATAAACTGGTTAGCCTTAACACTCCACCATTTTGGTACAAAGAATGGACAATGGGGAAAAGTAGACATTAAAAGGAAGCCCAGACCATAACATTTTTTTTCTCTCATTTTAATCATTTTTATTCTGTGTTGTCATCAATGTGATGATATTGTCATTCTTTAAAAATTTGTGTGCCTGTTTTCTTATTCCTGGCAGGTCCTCTTGTATTCATGATAAAGGATATCATTGCAAATGAATCATCTGTGTTACAAATCCTGTCTCTGACTGGTTCTTACAAGTTCCTTAGATCCATCAAACAACTTAGATTAACTATAGTGAATATTATATTCCTATGAGAGTGTATAGATAATTGATATCCAACCTTAGACTATATAAAGAATGGACAGCAAAATGTCTTCCCTGTAGTGAAGCCGACACATTTAGTGCTCCCTCTGGTGCCCAGCTTTTTAATGATAACAGATTAACATGGATCAGATGAAAAAAATAAATGTGGTTTAAATGATGCTGATTCATCTAGGACTTATTTATATATTTAGTTTTTGAAGAAGTTCAGTTTGACATGGTTATCTAATGTTAAAAATAAGGGATTTGTCATCATAACAGACAGCTCTGTTAGCGCCCACAAAGGTGGTGTTTTTTGTTTTTAACAGTCTCCACCCTTGCAATATTTGGCTTGTTATTTTGAGCAAATTATTGGGGTCATTTAAAGTCTCCTCAAAGAAAAAGCAAAAAAGCAAAAATTAAAGCAAAGATTAAAGAAAGCATTCAAGTCAAGTGAGACATTATTGGGGCCCTGATCCCAAAGAGGAAAACCATTGGTTTGGATATCTTACGGTTCCTTGTGGGAGACTAGTGCTGTGGTCAGATCTGATGTGCTTGAATGCCCACAACCCAATTTGTCAGAACTTAGAATTCACATGCTTCCTGTTCATGAGCTCCAGATAGGACATGGACAATCTCTCCTCTCTGTCAGTCCTGTTTTAAGAAGAAAAAGATGATTTTGGCAGCGAGATGTCTTTCGGTAAACCAGGCACGGCTCAGTGGCCTTGCATCTGTCAGGACAGTGTGGAAAGACTTCAGAGCAGATTGAAAAAATGGCAGCAGGTTTCAGGTTCTGTCTGATGTCTAATCTACATGGTACAGCGAGGCTGACAGCTGACACATCATTTACCGGGCAGGTGATGCTCTCTTGTCTAACAGGTCAAACCACTACTGGTGGTTTCGATTCATTTTTTTCAACAGAGCTACCTACTGATTCAGCATGTTGAAGCAGAAAAAAGGGCCATATGTTTCATTTTACGATCCTCTCAAAAGGAAAAGGACAAAAATTTAACAGATCAACAAGCAGGCTGGAAATACTCAGACAACTTTTCTGCTGAAAAATTTCTGCTTCAAGATTTAAACATTTAAAGAATGGCCTTTAAGCAAAAACCTTCAAAGATTTTGTAAGCAGTCTGATATGAAGGGGTAGAAATCTGGGGACTGCTGAGCATGAGTCTGAGCTCAGACCTTATATGTCATTCAAAAATAATCAACAGCTTCGTTTCATTTCCTTAATTGTCAAAGTGATTGTTAACAATAATCAAAGACACCACATTTCTGAGGGGTGGTATGAAAGAAAGGAGGTTATTGCAGTGGATGAAATCAGACGCTGAATCCTCTGTGATTTGAGACTGAAACTAAAACACTGAGATAGAGCACACTGAGAAAAATGTGCTAATCTTGTGGGAAATGCTAATCAGTACATGAAAAATGATACACTAATTTGAAGGACTTCCTTCAACTGTGCTTTTGAACTTCCATAACCAAACAGTGATGTGAGGAGAGCTACAAAAGCAAACACTGCCAGGCAGTCCTGGGGTGCAGTGGTTAAGCCTGCTGCATCTCCATGCAAAGATCCTGGGTTCAGAACAGATGACAAAGAGTGTGTGAGCCACAAGACAATTTGGAGCTACCACCTTATAGTGCAGTGGTCTAAGGTTCAAACCAAGGTGAATGGAGGCTATTTGAGGACAGACACATGACATGCTTTCCTCACTCAGCAGATTGATCAAGTGCCGTTGAATGACATAATGATGAAGCCAGAATTCACAGGCAGGAAGGCAGGCCTGTGGTGTAATTAAAGATGCTACCTTTGAGTATGATGGTAATGGGTTCAAACCCAAGATGGCCCATGGCAGTTGTGAAGGTTGAATAGACTGAAAGTGAAAGTCAAACTGCAAGAGGCATAAAGGGCTGCTCTGCTGCTGTAGCAACTATAAATGGTCTGTGGGGTTAATGTAAGTTTTCTACAGTTGAAGTAGTAATTTGCTATCATAATGAGGAAACACCAGAGGTAAGATTAAAATAGATTAAGAAAACAGATAAATAAAATGACATAATAAACAGAATGATAAAACAGTAAAACCTAAATGAACACTAAACGTACCATAATAGAAAATACTAGATAGGAAAATAAAAGAAAGTGGGAAAAAAATAGTACAACTGAATAAGAATAGGATAAGAATAAGAATTAATATGTATTATTAAAACTTGAATAAATATGAATGAATAAATAGTTAAATCAGCTAAAAGCTAAACTAAAATGGTCCTCTGGGCCATAATAATAATAAAAAGCTACTTAACTGTGGGTCTTGGTTTTGACTTTTGGCACTGTTAAAAGACCACGACCTGAAGACCTGAGGGCTCTCACAGGCTCATATGGTAAAAGCAGATTGAGTAAATATGTTGGTACGAGACCATTGAGAGCTTTAAAAACCGATAAAAGTACCTTAAAATCAATTCTTTATAACTTGAAGTATTGGTAATAACTTACAGGAAATTCAAACATCAAATATCTTCATTTTTGTAGAAAAGAAAAAGATATACTTTAAAGGAACATTGACTCACCCTCCATCTTCAAATCCCACCTGAAAACTCATTATTTTAGACAGGCCTACTCTGACTAGCATTTGATGATCTAATGCAGAGTCTGGACTTACAACTTTTTATTTAAAACTTTGCTGTGTTGATGTGTTTTTATTGATTTTATTGTCCTACTGATGTGTCTTATAATTGTCCTGTAAGTTGTCCTTGAGTGCCCTAAAATGCGCCAACAAATAAAATATATTATTATTATTGTCAGTCATTTTATCTCTTGTGAAAGAGACTGCTCTGTTGTCTCTCTGATGGCCCCTCTTGTATGTGCTACAAAAATGTAATACCTCTCATCACCAGTAGAGGGGGCGCTGTCCCACGCGCAGCCCTTCTGTCCGGAAGACCAATGTAAATATTTTTGTGACGTCTCATCCTCAGAATCATTCATATCCACCCATTAAGAATATCTGCTCCTCCAGCCTTCACTGCTACACTCTGTGTTTTCTTCTGTCAGCCCCTGACAATAACCCGAACCAGCCTCTTTGACACCACCTCTCTTTCCTCTCGTTTCTTTTTTATCAATATCATAACCGGAGCTCGCGCGGGCTTCCTCTGAGGGTATCATGCAGAAGAGAAGGAAGCCAGAGCCGATCAAACTCAACCCGATCCCCGACGGAAACACTATCAACGGAACCGGAGCCACAGAGTGAGTGTCAGCCTATAGCTACTCCTTTTATTCAGAGTGAGCGAGAACCAGGGATTATATTAAACTTTTATACATGTGTGGTCTAATTTTAACGAAGGCTCGTGAGTATTAGTATTGATGAAACCTGCATATGTTTATAGAAGGATTAACAGGTGTGTGTGTGTGTGTGTGTGTGTGTGTGTGTGTGTGTGTGTGTGTGTGTGTGTGTGTGTGTGTGTGTGTAGTCGTGCTTGCTCCAAGGCTGCAGCTCCTTATCTTAATTATGACGATTATGACAATAAATGACTCATTACTCCAGTTTAAGGGACTGTCTCGTGGACTTTGGACAAACACAGCCTGTGAGAGCTGAGGGCTAAATGTTAAGTCCTGTGTCAGTTTCATGATAGAAGTGGTTGTACAGTTCTGTACAGTGCATGATTTATGACATTTATAGAGAGAGGTGTAAGTCGTTTGACAAGTTGGATGACATGAGTGAAGATGCTGGAGCACAAAGAGACATCTGAGCAGTTTATGGCATGTGAAGGTGGAGAGCTGATATACCTAATATAACCCACTTGCAACAGCAGTAAGAAATAAATGATCTATCCATATTCCAATATAGCCACCCATAAGACAACGACTTCCAGCTGATCAATAATCTTAGGATTAAAGCAGGCACTAAGTCTTGAATAATTTTCACAAAACTTTCATGATTTCATTTTTCTGCACTCACAGAGCTTCTTTGTTTGCATTTGAAGTAGTATAACCTTGGTATTTTTGTTAAAATACCCTTTTCACAAATGACATGTTGACATAAATATACAGTATGTGGCGTTTCGGTACTTACAGATAACTTTGCACATGACTGAGCTCTATTCAAGTATCCAAGCTATTTGCAGAGTTGTTTTTCCTCATGGTGTCATACATGAACAGGTTGCCTCACTGTGTGCACAGCTCTCGGTCAGATTGAGCCCTGCAGGGGATCAGTGTGTACAATAATGTTTCTGTGTGTGAAGGGAATTCGGTGCAGGCCTGTTGTCACCAAAGTTTGATAACAAAAAAATAGATTAAAACAGCTATGGAGATATTAAACTGTTGTGACACTGTGCTCTAGTTCTCATCTTGCAGAGAAAGGCTCAGTCAGTCCAGCAACATGCAGGATGAGTGGAGATGAGAATTACATAACATGCCATCCCTCGTGACGCTCAGTTTTCTTATGTGCTGGAGGGCTGGAATATTTCATTGTGTCATCATTAGATCAAAAATGAAGGCTGTTTGTTTTACTGCAATGAATCACTCTAACTACAAAATCATTCATTCATTCAATCCTCTATCCTTGTTCTTGGTACTGATCCAGAAGACTGCAGCCTCAAACTAGCGTCAATTAATCTGCTGCATAATTTACTAATTAACTGACATGTTATTTTCATCATGATGAGCTGGAAAGAAAGGGCTGACAGAAATCCCTGCAGGTGAGTTCAACAAGCTGGTCAGGGATGAAAAGAGAGTCCAATTTCCAATCACACAGGGAGCTCACAAATGTGTGTTTGCATGACAGAGAGCCACAAAGCCTGGAAATACTCAGTTGTTCTTTACCAGAAAAAGCCAGTTTTACCTCCTGGGAAAAGAAAACCCCGTTTCAGGCTGGTGATAGAGGATGACGAGGCTGCAGGAACGCATCTGTCCCTCACACTCTGCACACATTTTGTTCTTTTACGCTGCATAAAGCTCAACACATGCACGCCCACCTAAAAAAAGGAAGAGACAACAATGAGGTCTTTTTCAGTCTTCTGCTGTACGAGTATGGTTTTAAATCAGATGCCAAAGAGCAATTATATTCATATTTTGCTTGTTGTCTTATTACTTTAAAATTGAACAAGAAAAATCTACGAACCAAACTGACCAAACTGTGATGGTTCAGTTGCTCATTTTTAAAACAGACCAATTACTGCAAAAACAATCTCTAAAAGCTCCAATAAAGCCTCATGATGATCTTATGGTCTCGTTGTGTGATAGTTTGACCAATCAGGATCTGAACTTGTTTGAGGAGTCGACTGAGGCATGGCCAGCTCTAAAAATGCAAAGTAAGCGTTAAGCAGCAAACATCCTCACTAACTACGTGATGATATCTGCCAACTTGGTACCGAGTCACAGAAAATGGAAAAGGACGACTAGATCATAGAGTTACTTTGTTTAACATGTAGAAAGATAGAATAGCTGGTGTGATATTAAAATAAAGGTCTATATTTGTCGGATGATGTATAACCAGGAAGGAAAGTAAATCATAACTTTTTCAACTTAAATAGGAAAAGAGCAGCCTGAACTTTACAAAGTATGTGGATGCGAATTGTTGGCAAAGCATTTGCTGCTGTTGAACTATTGAGCTGCATTTACATCAGTAATTAGCCAGAAACTATTATCTTCTGATTATTTTGACAGCAAATGACTCCAGCCATAATTTTAATTACAGGCCTTTTCACATTCAGAGTTTGACTTGTCTTTGAAGGGAACGCACAGGTATAACTCAAAACACCGGCAGCTGCCCTGTTGTGTGGGTGCTCGAGTAGGCGATGACTGTATGACAGTGGGTGAGGTTGCACAATACCATAACCCTGTAGGTCATGCGGAGAAATGAAATTCAGCCATCATAACATTTGATTTGAGTTATAAAAAAAGGTCTATATTAAAGAGATTACACTGGCCTTTCAGTTCAACAACAACGCTGAAACTGGAACCAATAGAAACCTGGTAGTTGTTATTAGAGGAGTGAAAAAAGTGTCTCTTGTCTCAAACCAGACATATAAAAATTAGCACATTTTTGGGGGTTGTTTGGACCGGAATGCTCTCACCAGCGGCACAGGTGTAGTATATTGGGTGCAGATGAGCCTGATGCAATCGATAAGCCTCTCATTGAAACCAGACTACTCCACTCGGGTTGAAAGGAATTGCCATTACTGCCCACCAAATGCCTTCTCAGTGGGAAATGGCTGGGAGCCATGAGAGAGCTGTACTGAGTGGCCAGCACAATGCCAGCCAAGCATGTAATATTATCAGAGGAGATCTGAGAACACATAAAAACAACCTGTTCTGGATAGACAGCCTCAGACTATCTCTCAAAAAAGATCTTACTATTCGATTCTGTTTATCTTGTAACCAAATCTGTTAAACACACTGAATGCTGCTGCACTGTTTTTGGCTGTTTTTTAAAGCTCTGTGATTCTGAAAGATGTTGTTGTTAGTTACTGTTGAGAGGCTTCTTATGTGCAAAGAAACAGGTGTGGAAAGGATAATGATTCACATACGCAGTACAGCAGCTACAGACTGGTGCAAATGAAACACTTCAGCACACTGACATTAAATCAAACTCTGAGGTTCATGCACTTGTACTTAGGGCTGTAAAACTGATGCTGTTTGAGAGGGTTTAACTCAGCCGGTGAAGATGTTAAGAAAAACTACCAACAAATCACCAAAATGGACACGTGTTCACTTTGCATGCTGTGATATGACTTGGAAAACCAAAAACATCCTGCTCCTTGCCATCAACTTTGATCCGTATTATTTTTGGAAAAACCACAGATCAATATTTATGTGGGTTAAATACCTGTCATCCAGAGTTTCGAAGGGTTTTGCAGTTTTGAACTTGATAATTTTTCATCAATTCTATTTAAGAACTATGATAGATGTCTGTTAAAGCTGTCCTTGACAGGGCAGTAATATCACGTTGATGAAGTAGTCTGCAGGCCACCTCTGTCAATAGAGCTTTACAAACACATTTTATCTTGAAGTCATAATACTTTTGTGTAACGAGCTGCTGCAGTGTTGCGTCTTTCCTATTCATCTTCTGCTGGATGTCCTTGGACATTGTGTGGATGGAGCACAAAGGGCCAGCGTCGTGCTCACTTCCTCCTGTATGGAGGACAGGAGCCTGCAGTGTTTAGCTACTGCTGTCCTTTCCTCCTCTTCGCACTGCATGGAGTGTTTCTGCCCCTCTTCTCTGTATCCTCCAGCCTCCTCCACCCCCAGCTCTTGTCGACAAAACACCCACACCGCCCACAGCCAACTCAAACTCAGCACCTCGTCTCCATGGATATACAGGCCCATCGTCAAAAATAAAACCACTTAACCCTCTCTTTGCTGAGCGTTGAGGAGCAGGAGAGGACTGTACTGCCCTTCACCGAACCGTGATTTAATACGGAAATGAAACAGAGTAATTATTACTGATTCTAAAAGAAACCCATCTTATTAGCATCAGATGAGTGCTCTTAAATTCAGATTGAAGGGATTAGCGTTTGAAAGAAGCTGAGGATGGTGCCTCTGTAAAGCGGCTGGTATACCTCCAACAGTGTCCTTCTCATCAGATCTTGCATGCTGTTGATGATGTCTTCTTTTGCATCTTACCTACTTAAGGAAAATCACTGACTGATTAATCAGACATGTTTGACTTTGGTGACTTTGAGTCTAAATGAGCAAAATAAAAACTCTTTGGGTTTTGACAGCACAAGAACAGCTAATTAATTACCCAAATTGTTCGTCAGCACATTGGTCCTTACTTTGCCATATTTATTCCAGACCCAAGGTTGAGCTCTCTGTGTTGCAGCACTGTGTTTTGAGGTATTTGAGTAGGAATAAATGGCGAGGTCAAAAAAAGCAGCAGATGAGGAGTACTCTCTTGAGTTGATATCTCAAAGAAATGCATTGCCATGACAACAGGCAGGGAAACAGGGAAACAGGGAAGCAGCAGCATTCCAAGGATACTCCTCACATTTCAATCTGCAAGCTTCTTATCTTCCTGCTGGTTATGTCGTTGGTTACTATTGTTCCCTGAGGCTCCTGGACGCACTCAATCCCCACTACCCCAGAATTATAAATATAGAGTTATTATAGCAGAACTGGACTCTTTGTGGTCGTTTACTGAGACAGCAGAGTGTCTGTCTGAATACATCCAATGAGTTTTATTGAGGGTAGATAGATAGATAGACGGATAGGTAGTAGGGGTAGGAGAAAAAAAAATCGATACAGCATAGTATTGCAGTACTTTGTCTGGTGATATATTGTGTCGTCTCATCGAACAATTATCAATTTTTTTCAAATGAATTGCTAATATGAAGTCAAATCGATGATAATGGAAAAGTAAAATCACCTGTTTGTCCAGGAAGGAGACATCCTAGAGCAGGAGAAAGTTAGAGCAACAAATATGACAGCACCTGGAGAAGGACATTAGGAATGCAAACAGAGCACAAATGAGATGGACCTGACACGTAAGGTTTATAAGATGTGCTACATGAAAATAAAATGCAGTGTAAACAAGACAAAGATAAAGAAAAGACAAATGCTAAATTAGCTAAACATTTTTAAAAAAAATTATAAATCGCAATGTATTGTACCGCAATACTCACTGTATGGCAAAATGTTAAATAATTTTGTATCGTGGCCCAAGTATTATGATAATATTGCATCGTATCATAATGTATCGTATTGTAGATAGATAGATAGATAGATAGATAGATAGATAGATAGATAGATAGATAGGTAGATAGATAGATAGATAGATAGATAGATAGATAGATAGATAGATAGATAGGTAGATAGATAGATAGATAATGCATGTATAACTTATCTTTTTGTTTGTCCTCTATGATCCTCTCTTAAAGAACAAACTTGGAGGCACTGCAGAAGAAACTCGAGGAGCTTGAGTTGGACGAGCAGCAGCGCAAACGCCTCGAGGCCTTCCTGACACAGAAGCAGAAGGTGGGAGAGCTGAAGGATGATGACTTTGAGAAGATTTGTGAGCTCGGGGCGGGCAATGGAGGAGTCGTCTTCAAGGTGTCCCACCGACCCTCCGGTCTGATTATGGCGAGGAAGGTAAACTCAAACACGGAGGGCTGGTTATACGTAATGAAAGACTTCTGCGAAGACAGTGCCGAGACTGTGTGTAGAAGCACTGGACTTATGTAACTTTTTCATTTTCTTTTGCTGAACTTTTAACCACATCATTGCTGCTTTCATGACTAGAACTGAAAGTGTGTTAAACATGTTTTCTACTAATTCGTCATCTTAAATCTTCATGTATCTAATATTTGTGTGTGGAGACGGAGAGTAAACTAGAACCCTCTCATACTTACGGTCATCCTGTGTTGTATGAGATCATTATGTCTTGTGTGTTCCAGCTGATCCACCTGGAAATCAAACCGGCCATCAGGAACCAGATCATTAGAGAGCTGCAGGTGCTGCATGAGTGTAACTCCCCCTACATCGTGGGCTTCTATGGAGCTTTCTACAGTGATGGAGAAATCAGCATCTGCATGGAGCATATGGTAATTATCATTAATATAAAAGCATTCTGTTCAAGTACTGCTTTACAGGTCATGCTGAAACAGACAGGCTTTGGGCCTTTGTGTTTTCACAACATTGATTTTTTTTTCTGTTCCTGTTGGCTGTAGGACGGCGGCTCCCTGGATCAGTCACTGAAGAAAGCCGGCAAGATCCCTGAGCAGATCCTTGGCAAAGTCAGCATTGCGGTGGGTAGCTTTCCTACCAGTTTCAGGCTCCACTTTTTTGCACTGCAGCTATTTATGTTAAGTTTTTGCAAAATTTACCATGCTGCATTTCTTTTTGATTTCTTCTGCCCACACATATCATCTAAATCCTCAACATTTATCATTCCAGGTGATTAAAGGGCTGTCCTACCTGAGGGAGAAGCACAAGATTATGCACAGAGGTCAATACCCGTTTTATTTTCTTAACTATCAAAACAATTCTATTAAAAGATTTTTTTCCTGTCCAGGACCACATACATACATCTCTCTGGACTATGAGCTTTTGAAGAATAAATAAGGTCAGAGTATTGATTTGCACCACAGAGGGAATTCCTATCAAAAGCTGATAGGAAACATCAACACAGACATGCTTAAGGCGAGCAGCCCAGCATCCCCAGACTCTTTTTCTTTTGTTGTGCTGTTTGCTGTTCCCAGTTGAACACTTGCCCTACATGTCCTTCTAAATATTGAATGTCACTTTCAGATGTCAAGCCCTCTAACATCCTGGTGAATTCCCGCGGTGAGATCAAGCTGTGCGACTTTGGAGTGAGCGGACAGCTCATAGACTCTATGGCCAACTCCTTTGTGGGAACTCGCTCATACATGTCTGTGAGTGAAAATGGTCACACATGCTCTTCCTTCTCTGTTCACGCATTTGTCTTTGGAATTAAATTTTACAACAAAAGTCTCTGATTTAGATTAAGAAGGCAACTAGAGTCCTTGTTAAAGCTGAATTACAAGTTCAAATGACTTACAAAGCATAAGGCACTGGTGTATTGTTAGTGTTGTATATGTTGAGAAAGCTCCAGTGTTTTACAAAAAAACTGTAAAGAAATCTGAAAATAATTCAAATGTAACCTTTGTAATTATTGCAAAATTTTGTGTCAAATCTAACGTTGATATTTTTTGGGTTTTGCAGCCGGAGCGTTTGCAGGGCACCCATTACTCAGTTCAGTCAGACATCTGGAGCATGGGTCTGTCACTGGTTGAAATGGCCATTGGACGTTTCCCCATTCCACCACCAGATGCTAATGAACTGGAACAGATTTTTGGCTTTCCAGTGGAAGGAGAGGCAGCTTCCAGTGAGTCATCCACAAAGCCCCGCCCACCTGGACGACCAGGCAGCTGTAAGTTTGACTGGACATTTGTTCATGTGGGTTGTAAAGGGTGCAGCAGCTTTGGCTGGAGTGACGGTAATCTGACCGCTGAAATAGTTTAACAAAAATAACAGCATTGTCATCAAGCGTCATCTACAGCAGATCACACTGAATGTCAGTAAATACTTTTTCCTTTATCCCTCCAGCATACGGACCTGACAGCAGGCCACCGATGGCTATATTTGAGCTGCTTGATTATATCGTCAATGAGGTGAGTGATGCACAACAGAATTTTTTAGCCAGATCACACAAAGGAATGTTGAGTATCATCACTCAATGATCAGATCTGCACTCAGTGTGACGTGACCTTGAGTGGGACGTTGCCTCCATTCAAGTCTTTTGAGCGGCATTAAAATGCGTCAGGCAACAACAGGGGAGGTTTTTTAATATCAGTGAGACTTGCCAAAGGATTGAAAGCTTTAAACTAACATGGGTACTTAACATTAATTGACAACATGTTCAATATTGTGGATGGCCCTTTAACAAATGTAATCAAATTGAACTTGATCTAAACTGGATCTTTGCCATGTTAAACCCACTCCTGCTGCTGTATACGCATACACTTTTCTATGGATCAGCGTTACAGTAGGTGGTGTATTAAGCTCGAGTTTGCAACCTTCTCACACACACACACTGAAATAATTCTTAAATCTTTATTTTCTCAATCATTTTCTCTGATAAGGTCTAATGTATTTATTGCATTCATTATTTGCATATAGTTCAATTAGACTAACTTCTCTATGACTGAATAACTTCTTTTCAGCCTCCACCAAAACTCCCCGGGATATTCAGCGCTGACTTTCAAGATTTTGTGAATAAATGGTATGGAAATGAAACCTGCATGTAACACACACAGTAACTTTCCACCCTTTTGAAATTTCTGCCCTCTAGTGGTGGTAAAATGAATTACATCAAGATGCTTTTGTCTCCTTTGCAGTTTGATCAAAAATCCTGCAGAGAGAGCAGACCTGAAACAGTTGATGGTGAGTGTGAGAATATAAAAGTATGTTTTCCGGGTTTTTAAGCTTTCTTACACACTCCTCTGTTCCTCCAGGTGCATTCCTTTATCAAACAGTCCGAGGCAGAACAGGTCGACTTTGCGGGCTGGTTGTGCAGTACCATTGGACTCAATCAGCCTTCGACACCCACGCACGGCACAGGGATGTGAGATTTGTTTTCAAGTTACCTGGGCTTTGTTTGAAGGGTTATCAACATCTTTATACTGAGTAATTAATGTATTTAAAAGTTGTGCTATAGACAGATCAAACTTTAGTTTAAAAACCTACATGCCAAGTAATTTAAGTCTTTATTGAACAATTCCCTGGGCTGTATTGAAAGCCTGCCTGAAAAGCCATGTTTTCTAATGATCAAAATATGTAATCACAACAAATGCTGCTAAACCTGTGTGCTTGATATTCCTCTTTGCCTTGTGTCCTCACTGCGCCGGATTCAAATCTATGCTTGCTTTTGTGGAATAAATTGTCTTGTGAATAAAATTATCGTACAGGTCTGTATTTACAGATTAGATCACTACTAATCTCCAGCAATTCCTGGTGTGTGGGTTCAGTCAGGAAGGAGCACTCTGCAGATGATCCTCTTCCTGGAATAACAAAATAAACAAGAATCAACAAGGTGAACTCCTGCTACATTCAAAGCTGTTTTAACAACATGCTGCTCAGGACTTCCATGAAAATCAGGATTCAGAAACACGGACCTGAAGTGGAACATCATCATTGGCTGACAGACAAAGTTTCAAGAATTTAAGTGAGCACTGCTTACTTGGTTTGGGAAGAGCTGTCTGATCTCCTCACTCTTCAGGTCTGTGTTGGTCTTCTGCTGGGGGGTAAATCAGAAATGATTAAATTTCTAGATTAACTGGTAAATTCTACAGACTTATTCAACAGGCTTTTTCAACGACTGAACTCAGAACTTCATTAGTATCACAAAATGTCAAAAACACGGACCTGAAGTAGAAGCTCATCATAGTAATGATTAATTCTAACATTGTCACTTATGCAGTACTCACTTGTAGTCAGCCCTCAAGGCAGCAGGTTGGCGGCAGCCTTCAGTGGGTTGCCTTAGAAACAAAGAATGATCAAATTAGTGAAACGCCTCATTACAGATTCATTAAGATGACACCTTCATAAATAAGAGCTTGACACGAGTAAAGGACGTTACTGCCTATTGATCTGCATGTTTGCATTTCATGACTTTGCTACCTGCCGCATCTAAACTACACATGGTCGCATGTTTAGTCATGACAGTACCTTCAACAACTTACCTCTTATGTTTTAACAGCATCTCTTCCTTATTGTAGATGATACACGGTCCCCCACACTGGATCAACTTGCAATTCCCTCATTTTAGCACTTACCAACAGACATTAATGACCTTCAGACCAAGTTAAATTAACCATGTACTATTTTTGTGCTTTACCACAAGCCTAACTCAAAAGCTATCTTAGCGTACCAGATTTAAAATAATAGATTTGACTCGAGAATTTCGAAGAACTGATTTATTTATCACTGAACACCAGTCTCTTTGTATAAATTTATGCTGCAGGTTTGGGTGCCTTTGCAGGTGCCTTCTTTCTTGCGTGCTTCTTCTTGGGTTTCAGCATCTTGGCCTTGATCTACAGGAGGAGAGTTACAAAATGAATAAAGACACAGCTGGCAATTTCAAGTTTGACATCAGAATGATTAAAAGATTGAACTGCCAAGTCTTACAGCAGGGTCATGCTTGAGGATGGCATGACGTCTTGCGGTCTTGGCGTAGGGGTTCAGTTTGAGCATAATCCTCAAGTTCTTCAGAGGATTCTTCTTCAGCACTCTGCGGTTGATCTTCTTACTGTTGTGACAAAATAACAAAATACACTTTAATACGGTGGACTACTGCTAAGTGGTAAGTCCCTAATAAACACTGCAAGGCTCAGGACTTCCATAGTAATCAGGGTTCAGAAACACGGACCTGAAGTGGAACATCATCATGGTAGACAAGCTTTAACAAACATGAAAACTCTCAGTGAACCAAACTTACTTAGGTGTGCGAAGGGATTTCTGGATCTCCTCACTCTTCAGGATCCTGCTCAGGTCTGTGTTTGTCATCTTGTGCATGGGCAGACTGAAAACAAAGAATTCATCATCAAATTCCTCACAATATATAGTATGAGAAGAGTCAACTGTCTAGTCTTTGATACTCAAACTCAGAACTTCGATACTATCACAGAGTTCAAAAACACGGACCTGAAGTGGAAGCTCATCACAGTGAAATTACGAAGTTTTAAATGCTGCTGCTCTTCGAATAAACACTCACTTGTAGTCGACCTTCAGGGAAGCAGGTTTACGCCAGGTGCCGTACAGCTCATCCAGCTTACGGAAAGCGCTCTCTGTCCAGATGCAGAAGCGTCCAACGTGACCACCGGGAGCGAGCCTCAGCAGGTTCAGTTTGTTCACGTTCTGCAGAGTGATGCCTTCACAAAACACAGCACACAGTTCAGAGTTATCTTGTTGCTGGACTGGCACAAAACAGACCTGCGAACCTCACAAGCAACATCTAGGTATCTTAGATCTGCATATAAATGTACATTCTCAAGCCAACATTATTTCAGCCTTATCTTACAAATGTCTTATGATTTATGATATAAACCGTTGTAATGAATTACTTACCGGGGATGTTTCTGAAGGCTTTGGTGACACCAGCGTCTTGGTTGTAGATGATGCATGGCCCTCTGCGTTGAATGCGTCTGCGATTCCTCATCTTACCCTTACCAGCACGCATGCGCTGAGAGGCGTACACCTGAGAACATAAAAATCGGAATATGCCAAAATGCTGAGTTATTGCTGAACTCCAACAATGCCTCGTACATACAGTAACTCTGAGCAGCTGAAACTTGCAACCAGAGCAGTTACTGTATGTTGTTATAAAATTTTAATGCTTTACTTGCACCTGGTGGTTTAAAAAGGTGTGCACACTATGTACAGAGGCTATAGCTGCAGGGATTTGACAGCATTTTGTCAAACTTTTTTTCCCCCTTGATGCAATGTCAGCTCAACCAGGAGCAAAACTGAGGCGAATAAATCTGAATTTGTAAAAGACTGTAGATTACCTTCTTGATGTCATTCCAGGCTTTCAGCTTCTTCAGCAGCAGCACTGCCTCCTTGGTCTTCTTGTAGCCCTCAACTTTGTCCTCAACCACCAGTGGAACCTCAGGGATTTCCTCAATACGGTGTCCTAACAGTCAAAACCAGAATGTCAACCCATGATGTATTCACACAAGCTTATTCATGGTGACTGTCAAGAGCGGTGCTTTCTAAACTTGCTCAGAATTAAACATACATCAATATTCTGTGACAGCTTAAAGACAGCAGGCAACTGTCACTGTTCACAGAATCAGACGCAAATTACACCATCATGGCAAGTCTAACCTGAAGCTGTACTTAAGTAGGATAGCTCATAATGATCACATTTTCCTGAATCTTACCTTTGGACATCACAAGTGCAGGGATTGCAGAGGCAGCCACTGCAGAGCAGATGGCGTAGCGCTTCTGGGTGGTATTGATCCTGCGGTGCCAGCGGCGCCAGGTCTTGGTGGGGGCGAACATGCGACCTCCACGACACATCTAAACCAAAGTGAAGGAGGTCTAACAACTACGGATGCTACTAAAAATCTAGACACCTGCTCAGACTCAAATATTCGTCAGCCATCTGTGCCAGCATATGACAGCAGGCATTCTGTCACTGATCACAGAGTCGGACGCAAATTACACCATCATGGCAAGTTTCTTTACTTCTTTTTGACATGGCACACGCAATATTTAAAACAATGATGAAAATAACTCCACCTCTAAGTAAAGGATACATTTCCAAAAGCACCCTGGCCAGAGCGATGAGTACCACCACCCCTCACACGAGGGATACGGGCAACAGCTCTTCCTGTGCCCCAGGACTCTGCACTGGTCTGATGACCTGAAATTGACACAAATTAAAATCCATAAGAACAGAAATATCAAGTGCTACTGAGAATGCATGAAATAAGTCATAGCTTAACTATGATGCTTATACAGATGCCAATCTAAGACAGCCGTTACTTACCTGCCAGTTCACTGACTGCATAAGGCTGGCGGCTGTTCTTGCGCATGTTGGTGTGAACAAAATTCACAACATCAGGGCGGATTGGAGCCTTAAACACAGCAGGCATGACAACATTCTTGCCTGCAGATTCTCCTTTCTCGGAGTAAACCGAGATCAAGGGTCGGGCACAGGCCTAGGACAAAAAAAAAAGCACACCACTGATCATGTAAAAGGCATGTACATACTAAGATGTAGAGGCTGTCAAAATATACTCTTTGTTCGTTTAAAGTCTGCGATTTACCTCCTCGTGTATGACAATCTAGAGCACAAATCTTTAAACCATGTTTGCATGAACTATCGCTTGATAACGTCAGATATTATAAACAGTCAAAAGTCAGTTTCCGGGCCTGGCTTAGCTGGAGTTTGATAGCTTGACTTATAGCATGAGAATCACCACTTATTATGATTAGTGTAATGATGTATTTGGGGAAAATATTCACTAGTATGCTTCAAGATTAATCTAAAACAGGTAGATTAACAGATCGGATGAATTAGGGACTATCTGAATACAATCTGCCAGTCTTGTTCTACCACACGTGTCACCACACAAAACTACAGAAGCTGCTCGACCAAAATGGCTCCTCGTGTTAGCTTCGTTAGCCGGGAGCATTCCAACACCCTACTCTATCTAAAGCCCATTTAAGTCAATAGAGACAAAATACAGCGGTATTTCTACTGTGCAGACATTGTAGCAGCTTTGCCTCACATTGTAGCACTGGTTTCCCGACAACAAGAGAGTAATTTCTCACCATTCTTGGTTATATTTTTTCGGCTCGCCGGGAACCACGCTCCTCTCGCTATGGCGGCCACAGTAAAAAGGAAGTTGGTGATTGAACCCATGTGATTTATGCCTCCGCCTTGACGACTATCACTTCCGTCGAAAGGTGAATTTCCACTAACATTTCTTTCGCCTCAAAAGAAACTACACGACTGCATATATGCGAATTGGTTCAACCTTTAATAAGGACCTTTATATCAGATTCTGAAAAAAATGAAACCCACTTTCAATTTTTGTTTCTACGGATGGGACTATTTCTTGCCACGTCTGCGTAGTACAAACGTAGTGACCGAACTACATTCTCTGCAATAGTTTTTAGATTAAAAAAAACAAAACTTTTTAAATCAAACATTTTTAGCGATATTCTTTGACCAATAACGTTTTTTTTTAATTCATAAATTTCTCTATTGAAAAATAAAATTCATAAATCGGTTACCTCTGACCCCATGTCGTCATCGCTAGAGTCTGAGCGCGCGGCTGTCAAACTATCAACAGTAGTAGTTGCCCTAAAATCTGCAGCAGTTTGTTAGACTGTTTTCATCCCCGTTTGTTGTACTTTTGTGCTTTTTCCACCGTAACAGGAGAGACTGTGCTGTTTTAATATGTGTTCAAAGGTGATATCTAGCGCCAGGGACTTTTACGGTATCCTTCGGTGAGTATACACTTGTTTTAACTTCATTTTTCTGAGCTTCTTACAGCCACCGTCATAGTAACGCGAGTTAGTGAATGTTATTTTTAGTCCATGGCTTAATTGATTTGTTTAATATTTGTTTATTCCAGTTACCACAGCATTCTTACGTTTACGCTTTAAGATAATGAGTATTTTGCTCTTCGGTTCAGGTCCTTTCAGGAGGAGAAAAGCGATGACCCTCTCATAATTGAGGTAACTACAACAAACAATGGTAAAATCCGTCTGTTTTTAAAATAATGATACTGATAGTTCACCTGTTGTGTTACAGGAGGACATCCAGATTTTAGAGATGAATGGAAACAGAATCCCTGTGTTGAACACCATCTGTGGCACCCAACCACTTTTCATCTGTGAAAATGTGGTGAGGGAGAATAAAGTTATGATTCATTCATGATATTTTGGGTTTCAAATGCCACAGAAAATATCTAAATGTAATGATTCCACACACTCAAACATCATTTAAGAAGTCTGTTGTTGCATGTGTTACATTGCTGGGGTGTTTCTGTATTTTACATGGTTATTTTGGATCTTAGAGTCAGTATACTGGGGTTTGGTGAAATTGAACTCAGTTGCTTCTTTGTGTTCCCTTCTTAAGGTAGCTGCAGAAACCCTGTTATAAACTTTGTCTCTTAACCTTGGTAATTCGACTATGCTTTATTAAGCAGGCTTTAAAAGTATCAACTGAATATGAGGACCGACAAATGACTGAAACATCGAACTGCACTGATGAAGATGCTGATGTTGATAATGACGAAGCCAATACACCTCCGGCAGAACTGGGACCCCAGCCACTTACAGTTTTAAAAGCAAGGTAAACCATTACAAAGAGCTTCAAGGTTTTAACTAAATTAATTGATATATCTTGTCCCTTTTAAATGCATATTGGCTATTCCTTTTTTTTATAGACAATTGCTGTCTTGGTACACATTATCTCAAAATACCAGTCTGTCAACTCTGGACAACAACCCTGCCTTACCCCCACTCTGGCTTCGATGTGACATGTCTGATCCAGCTGGGACAACCTGGTTTGGAGCAGAAACTGTCTGTATGAGCAATAAAGTCTCTGGTGTCAAATTATACTCTGTTACTTGCAAAGGTAAGATGTTTCAGCCTTTCGAATAACCCATAATTCAAATAGTATCAGTGCAGTGTTTTGAGTTTTTGTCAATTCCTTTGACACTCTAATATTTTATGCATTTCAACTCCAACATTGTCAGGCTCAACTGTGGACAAAAGCTCCCTGATAACTCTGGATAAGCTGAAACAAGAGCACAAGAAAAGGCATCATCCATCCTCGGTGAGTCACTGTGCATCCATTTGTCTCAGTAAGTGTAAGTAGAAGCTCATTCTCATTTATCCGTCTATGCTTCCAGATGGTGATCAAAGGAAGTGCCAACTTTAGTTTGTTAGGCTCCACTTTAGTTGAAAACACAACAATTGAATCACAGAGTACTGTGACAGTGGATTTCAAATGGAGCCATGTGGAAAGTATCTTGGAGACCCCGCCCCTGTCTTCTACGGCAAACCTGGTGAGCATCAAGTAAACACAAGCACCATGAAAACATACTTTAATCTATAAGATACATCTGTAATATTACATTAAGATGTAAAATACAAAGTAAAGCACATTGATTTATGTTCTTTAGTTGGTTATTTATCAGTTTCTCTCTTAAACAGAACATCAAAGTTGCCAACGGGGACATGAGGAGCCCAATGTATGAGAAGTACAGGGAGCTAGAGTTTCTTCAGGTTTGTATTCTTCAGTGATGAAAGAGAAGTCACTGTCAGCACTCACCACATAATGAGCAACCTAATATTTCAGATTCCTGTCATTTCAGACCCTTGCTGATGGTTTGAGAACTGGTGAGACTGAGTGGATGGAACCTTTGGAAAGTGTGTCAGCTGTAAATCTGACAAAAGCCCTCCTAGAAGGTATTGGATTTTAAATGAACACACATCAACTGCTATTAAAAAAACTGGTGCCACCAAAAACTCATTTCTTTGCTTTCTCTTCATTCCATCAGAGCTTCAGAGTACTGCCAAGACACTAAAGGGACATGATGCAAAACCAACAGAGGTAAGGTTCTTTGAAAACTAATGCACTTAATAAAATCACTTTAACAAAAACATGAGCTTTTATTCTTTTTTTCTCCTAAGAATACAAAGCAGAAGACTGAGACAGATACTCCTGTTTACATCTCTCTCTTGGAACGAGGTGACTTGGATTTTGCGGAGCAGCTGTGGGTCCGGATGAGAAAGAGTGAGTCTATTTCCCAATGAAGGACATGGGTTACCGTTTGATTTAACACTACAAACAGGCTGCAACAACATTTTTCCTTCATCTTGTCGTCAACTGCAGCTGTGACTTCCTATCAAGACATAGAGGACTGTCTGAAACTGGTTATCAAAGCTCTCAGATACGGCGACATCAAACCCTGGGTATGAACTGGCGCTCTGTGAAGTGTCAATCCCTGTCAAAACTCTAAGGGTTTTTTAATGTGTAAAGTTCAAAGTTTTGTTTTGCTGTTTCACCACCTCCAGATTCACAGAGACAGCAGCAGCTCCCTCAGCAAGCTCATCCTGCAGTCCTACCACCAGCAGATTGATCATGTGTCCCTAACAGGTGTCGCCCCAGTCCACATGCTGCTGGAAATGGGTCTGGACAAGATGAGGAAGGATTATATAAACTACCTCATTGGTAATCCATACTTGTTACTTAAAAGTTCTGTTAAACAGTGTCCTTTCATTTTGATTCTAAATGTATGGGGAATTTTGACCCACATAATTAGGAATTACTATGCCCAGACTTGACCTCAATATTGAACCATGTTCATCTTTTTATTGTTAGGTGAAGAACTGACAACTCTGAACCATTTGGTAAGTTCAGACCAGTTTTAACACAGTTTTTTTTAACAATTATTAATAATTCAGAGCTGGATTTTTTTTTCTTCTTGATAGTGTTACTATCTGAGCACAGACGTCGATCTGCAGGAGCAAGTGATCCGGCTTAGAAAACTGCACCATCTGCTGGAAATAATTCTGACCTGCAGTACTTTCCTGGGACTGCCTTATGACCGACTCTTTCTCCTCACACAGTAAATCAATCTGACTCTTCCAGGCAAATGTGTTCAAAATACAATTTGTTGAAGGTGACATTAAAGTAGAGATTCTCTTTTCTATTAGGTCATGTTTGCAGCACTACAAAACACACCCCTATGACGAGGAGCATGAATTCAAACTGCAAATCAACCCGGCACTGATCAGCCACCTCTACCAAAAGTAAGAAATACAATCATTGAACAGTAACTGCTGCCTGACATATAAAAAATGTACATATTTGTCTTATTCTTTCTGTTCTGTTTGGCTGAAAAAAAAATTATTAGATGGATAGAATCTCATTCATTCAGATGTTTTCATAGGGCTGGTTCAGCTCAGAATTTTCTGTTTCCAGATGCAACTGTGGCGGGAAAATCCCGGTCGAATATATCCCTACTTTTTGGTGCATGAACAACAGAATTAATACCTGCTTTCTTGCGATCAGGTTTTCAAATGTGCATTTAGGTGCTGACTACAAAGTTTGAACTGAGATGCTGTCTCATCCTTGATGTTATTGTGTTCTTACAGAGAGCATCCAATCATGTGGGGTGTTGAGGTGTCCAGTGGTCATGGTTCACGTGAGGTTAAGACATCCTTGCAGCTCAGTGACAGACCGCTGGTTGATCATGTCATCTTTGACACAGGTGATTACTCCAAATCAAGAACACTTTATGAAATGTTGATGAATACAGATGTTAATGGTTTGAAAATTATTATATATAATTTAAAACAGTGCAAGACGACATATTTATTGTTTATACTGAAAAATGTGTTGTTCTATGAAAAATGCTCGTTTTAAATTTGACGCAAGCAGCACATCTATAAAAGTTGCAACCCGGGCAAAAAAATCAATTATTCATGACATGACAAGACCGACTCTCACTAATACAGATCCTCAGCCTAGAACTGCAAAGAGTTTGAGGATTTCATCATCAGTAGTAAATAAAATTATCAAGAGATTTAGAAAATCTGGAAATATCTCTGAGGCAAAAGGGCCAAGGCTGAAAACCAAAACTGAATAGCCATGATCTTCAGACCCTCAGGCAGCACTGTGTTGATTAGGACGACTGGTACAGAGAAAATCACTGTATGGGTTTAAATCGTGTCAAGAAACCATTTTTTGTGACCACAGTTTATCAGTTTAACCTCAAATGCAGGTCAAACTGCACAGTGCAGAGAGAAAACCACATATCAACACGATCCAGAGACACTGGTGACTTCTCTGGGCCCACAAAGTAGAAAACAGTCTTTTTAGAAATCATAGATGCTGCATCTATTGTTCTGAAGAGAAGAGTAACCACCTGGTTTGTTATCAGATCTCAGTTCTAAAGCCAGCATCTGGCATTATTATTGCTGAATATTATCAGGTAGTGGAGCAACACATGATGCCATCAAAACATTCCTTTGTCAGAGAAGACCTAACATATTTCAAGACCATCCCAAACCACATGGCCTGATAGAAGTCCAGATTTGTCACCCACTGCCAAAATTTGGAGCATCATGAACCCAAAACTAAAACAAAGGAGAGCTGAAAATCAGCTGAAGTCATATATCAGGCAAGAATAGGACAATATTTCACTTTCAAATGTCCAGAAACTGATCTTGATTCTTAAACAATAAGTATTGTTCAAAGAAGTGATTCAACATAATGGTAAATTTGCCCTGTCCCAACTTTTCTGGGACGTGCTGCTGTTATCTACTTTAAAATCAGTGTCTGTGCTCTATTTTCAATTGAAAATAGCGTTTCAACTTTGTCTCAACTTTCTTCACTTTGTAAATAATGTTTGTAACTTTTTGTACGTCTTTGATTGTTTTGGTTTTAGATTACACAAATGAATCCATCAACGACGACGGCAAGGACCCTGCCTACTTCTCCACCATGGTGTGCTGTAGTCTTGTCAGTTTTTCATGAATTTGCAAAGAGAACAGCTGAACAACCACGAAGGTGTTTATTGTCAGCGTTCGTATCCTCATTAGTATGAAAATATCAGTGAATGAAATAAGAAGAAGCCAACTGGCCTTATTTTGCATCAAAAAAGTGTTTAGAGACCACTCTCAGGTTTCCTGCTTGTATACTGTTGTTATTCTACATATTTAAAAGCATCAACTTCATCTTTCTGCATGTAAATTCTTTGACACAATAATGTGATCTCCATTCCAGTCTTTATTATTATAACATTTGCTGTACTTTATTTCTGTTCAATATATCAGTTTGAAGAAATTTTGCAGTTGTTTTATTTATGCCAAACAACTCCAAGTTGTAACATAATAAGAACAAAAAAGTACAGTAGATCAAGAAAGCTGTTTGCAATGGTATTATTCCACAGCAGTAATTCATAGGAAAATCCAACATGTTGTAGGGCTATCCACACTTTTTGCTCATATGATACTAATTTCATTATAATAGGCTAAACCAATGTTTTTACAGCAAAAACTGTATACACATCAAAAAAAGGAATTCATAAATTCCCTTAAAATTAGGTTGGAATAATGTAGCTACGCTCACACATGATTGGTTAAATGAAGGGTGCATTTAAGTTCTGAGTGTGTCTGTAAACATGCAGACTGAGAGCTCCACTCTAGTTCCGCCTCCGCAGCAGGAACATGAGGAAGATAGCGCTCAGAAGAATGGAAAGTGTGCACACAGTTGGAACAACGATCTCAGTTACCATCTCCATGTGGCTGGTCAGGGGATCTGTGAAGCACACACAAACAAAAGACAAACACGCTGGCATTGAAAACTCGGCAGCATCACTGGGAAGTGTAGACACTGCATGTGAGGCGAAATGATGATGCTCAAGCACAGCACTCAAAGGGTTAATAATCTTGTCCTAGATCAAATCATCCTTTATCTCTATTTAAAGTGAGCATGAGTGATTCCTTACCATGTATAAGTCTTAGTATATTGGCAGCAGTACTCCGCTGTTCCTCTAACAAAACAAAACAGAAAGTACTCAGAGTTGATCAACGGCATTTTAACCCTTTGAGAACTGAATGCAGCTGAGGGGAAGTATTTCAGAAAGCAGAATTTGCACTGTGGTCAGATAACTTCTAAATCTTATTTTTCAAATCAAGTTCTTTCTTATTTTTTCACCATAAAAAGCATAACATGTTGCTTAAGCACAAGTATTATTATTTTTTTTCTTAAAATTTAGATCCACCACATGGTTTACTGCTACTGTTTATTCTATGTGCTCCTGCTTTTTGAAATACCCCTTTGGCACAGACGAGCTTCATGCTGGCTATCTTTATGGCAAAGCTGCTTTGAAAACAAGAAGGGCTGCTCTTACTGTAAGTTAGAAGCACATTAGTAAAACTTAAAGACTTGGCTGCACACTGCAGAGGTAATAAAGCTTGTTTTTCAAATGCTCGTCATGGTGTGAAACTGCAAAGCTTAACTCTGTTATTCTGGTTTTAAAATGCAAAGTCATGAAGCAACAACAAAAATGACATTAATGGGAGACATATACCCTTAAATTCTACACTTCGTCATGCACTGGCCAAACCTTTGCCATTTCTGCATGTTCCTTGGATTTTCTTCTAGCTGGAGGGGCAAACAAAGAAGATATCTCTCCGTTAGAGGTTTTGTAAGTTATGTTTTCCATCGTTCTTATGGTACTTGTAATTTGATTTATTTTTTCTTAAGTGCTTTAAGCATGCGTTTCAGTCAAATTGTGATTTTGATCATGTTTCAGAAAAAGAAAAAAAAAGCTCTTTTGATAGGTCAGAATCTTTATTTGTTTACCCCAGCTAGTTTTGAACTCCTGATCACTGATAAGTAATGTCGGGAAAGTTGGAGACAAACTGACCTGCAGCGAGGAGCTGGTTACTGGAAGAACAGGTTTCTGTGGCCTTTCTCCTCCAGTTCTCAACCTGAAGGGTTTAAAAACAATATTTATTGTTACCGTAAAAAGTTTACTCTCTGTTTTTTGAATTTCTGTATTTTTTTTCTCTTACCTCTCTCTGATTGGGAAATCCATTGGAGCTGATGACTCGTTTGTAAAACTGAACAGAGGCTTTTGGGTAGCGAGGCTTGTTTTTGTTCCTGAAGTCCACATAGTACAGACCAAACCTCTCAGAGTAGCCTTCATCCCACTCAAACTTATCCATCAGGGACCAAGCAGTGTAGCCCTTCACATTGACTCCATCTTTGATAGCTGAGTAACACACACAACAGAGATGAGCTGGAGTTTGATCAAAGTAGAGATGGATAACTTTGACTCGTCTCAGTTAATTCACCTTTTAGCATCTCATTGATGTAGTCTTTATAATACTGTATCCTCCAGTCATCACACAGCTCTGTACACAGCATCTTCTCAGAGACCCCATTCTCAGTTACATAAACCACTGGGTTTCCATACTGAGTCTAGATGAGAGTCAAACAAGCGTGACATGTAGTAAGTCTTAATAGCGTAATTGAACTGCGGTTATGGTGCTGTAAAATCAATTTAAATCTCTATAAGTTACCTTGACAAAGTTGAGCAGACGTCTGAAACCCCAAGGCACAGAGTAGAGCCACTCAGACCCAGGATCAGGCCATCGCGGGTCAACCAACTCAGCTAGATCCCGGTCTGTGAAGTAACTGCTGCTACGAGCCGATGGGTAGTTCTTCTGAGTGATGTAGCGGGTGGTGAAATGACCGAGGCCAAGGAAGTCACAGGTGCCCTTGATGTAGCTCTTCTCTTGTGGGGAAAATGTCGGCAGGCGAGATGAGCCCAGGCCCTGTTGGACACTTTTCCTTCCTGGACATTTGGTCATGAGCAATAATAAGTTAAATCCACGCTGACCAATTCAACATCTGTATTTACTGTTAAAAGTAAAGCTCACCAATGAAGTCTTTCATCACTTGAGGGTAGTCTCCATGAAATATAGGTGTGGCAAACCAGCCCAGGTAGAACTGGACATATCTCTCAGCTGCTTCTATGTCCTTCTGGTTGCTGATGTCCACAGGCTCACCCCAGTCTCCAGATAGAGAGATACCAACTTGACCTGTAGATGTAAGCAGTAGTTCTCAACACTTAGGCAGCCATAGTGTTGACAGACATAGTCATCAGGTCTATATGCCGCTCTCACAAATTTACCTTTCTGTTTTGCTCTCCATTGAGTATCATAAGTGTGCCAAACTCTTGCATGCGCCTGTAAAAAAAAAAGACGTTTTGATATGATTCAAGCGTTTCTTCTCAGCAGCAGATCAACAGCTGGGTCTGATCACTCTGTGTCTGTGCTCACGCCCTTACCTTGATTATGTGATGTGCAGCTTTGTACGCCCCTGTTCCTTTCAGCTTCAGTCCAGGTGCATGCTCACCAGTCTCATAACCCTCAACTGCTATGGACTGGAATTTATAAAAGGTTATGGTGTGTTAGTGTTGCATTAGCACTTAAAGTCAAACACAGATGCATAATCATTCAAATCATCATCTTTTCTGCACCTACCCATGGGTTGTTGAAAGTGATCCAGTACTTGACTCTGTTGCCAAATCTTTCAAAGCACAGGTTGGCAAATTCATTGAAGTAATTGACCATGCTTATATTCTGCCATCCACCGTGTTTCTCTTGTAAGACCTAAAGAAACAAACAAAATTTACTAACTCTGTAAAGAATAGTTACTCAGTGCATAAGTCAAGGTTTTTTTTTAATGTGAACCTGTGGAAGATCCCAGTGATACAGGGTCACAATGGGAGTTATCTTGTTCTCCAGCAGGTGGTCAATCAGTTCATCATAGTACTGTATTCCCCTTTCATTTACATGGTCCGCTGCAGGTGGCATAAAAATGATGAGAATGAATCATTATCTGCAGTTGTCATCAAGTCGATCACAGTTCAGTGCCAAAATGCTTGAATTAGCAGCAGTTACTCACACTTTATGCCTGTGGGAATGAGTCTGGGCCAGGATATGGAGAAGCGATAATGGTTAAGCTTCAGCTCCTTTATCAATGAAACATCATCCTGTATGAAACACACATACACACACATGGAAGTGAAATATTTCATGACTTTTGATCAAATTCTGTCTTGCACATAAATCTCAACACCTGGTGACCCACTCTAAATTTGTGGTAGCCCTCGCACGATGAGTCCCCAGTGTCATTTTGTAGGATTTTTCCCTTCTTGTGACTGAATACATCCCAGATGCTCAGTCCTTTTCCATCTTTGTCCCAGGCTCCTTCTGTTTGATAGGCTGAACTGCCGGCACCCCACGAAAATCCTACAAAAAGAAGTAATCATTAGAAACAACCATTTGACCCTCGGTTACGTGACCAGGTTTTAGAAATGCAATCAACTGTTACTTAATCGTAACAATAAGACCAAAGCTGAGTTTACCAGCTGGAAAAGTGCCATAATAGAAGGAGCCGTGGTCGTTCTTTGTCCAGTCGAAGTCCTCAGCCGAAGACAGACACAGCACCAACATAAGCACATGACACACACTGAGTGCACAGCGGGGCAGCATGGTACTCCTGAGCCTGCAGCACAGTCACTGTCTGGTTCTGCTCCAGTCCCTCACTGATATCTGTGCACAGATTGAGAACCTTCAGAACTATACCAATATCATACATCAACACACACCCTTTTTTTTTATTTTAGCTCATTAAATCAGTGATAAAAAAAGTATGATCAAAATAAACTGTCATGAGGCTGTCTGAAAACATCTCATGTCATGGACTTCAGGGCGATACTGCATCCCTATTGTAGAGCCAAATTCCCCCTTTTCAAACTCAATGGTGTGTGAGCTTATCTCGCTGAGGCAGACAGATCCCATACAAACTGTGATTTCACCTATGTAAGCAAAGCTAATGTCAGGGAGGATGATATGTGTACAGGGAACAATCACATGACAATGGATTCACTTTTCCGTACGTGAAAATGAAAATGTTCTTGTAAATCTTAGTATGAGCTGATTATAAGTAAATATCATGGTTCAGGGCTAACAATTAAACTGAAAAAAGTTCTTACATGCCAGCTTTGGTTTTCAATGGTTCAAAATCATTTTGTGACATATTAATATTGTAGTTTTACCTTGCTGCAGTCTGTGAAATACACTTGGATGTTCAATGTAAAGTGAATTTGCATAGATTAGACAGAGTTTGTTATTGGGATCTTTGACCTAAGCTCAAATATACAACCTCAAATACATGTTAAAGTTCTTTTGAATCAATAATACTTGTATTATATATCACTGGCCACGCTCTTTTATGTTCAGGAAAGGTAATATCACCTGCTCTATGTTATATATATTCATTGTTTACCTCTTGCAAATGATCCTCTTGAATTTGTGAAAAATCTGTAACCACCACTGCAACATTTTCATTCACACTAGTATATAAAATGAAAAAGACCTCCACTTACCTTTGTACCTTATGAAGCATTCATTTGCATCAGGTGTTTGTCCTGAGCCCAAGTCCCCAGTGAATGGGAGCTCTCCTGGAACAGCAGACCATGTAAAAAGCTGTACATATCTAGAGGGGCGCTCTCTATTGTATGTCCCCTGTTGTAGCACCACCCTTCTCCAGAGCTGTCCCTGCTGTTGGTGTGAAAGCTGGCCTTATTGTGGGGCTCACTGTATTGTTTTATCTGTTTAGAAAATGCTGAATGGTTTGCTGGTGGAAAGTGTTTGCACTGCATTACACTTTTGCATGGGTCAGGCTGGGACACTTTTAGATATGTATTACTACTGAGTAACTAACAAGGAAACTTAAAAAACCTCCTTTACTGCACATGAACATTTATAATACTTTTAAAAAAAAAGGAAGCAAGTAGGTGTAAAGCTAAAGGTGTATGATGTAAAAATGAGTCAGGTGAGCCTTATGCAAAACATTTTATTTTGTGCTTACAACTCATTTCTTTCACAATCCACATACAGTACTTTTTGGATGGCCCAGCCATACATACTAATGCTTATCCTAAAAATGCACAGGACATCTACTTAGCTATAAGCACCTAATAACACTGTGTTACGTCAGTTTTGTGAGACATTTCTCACAACTTTTGAGACAAGGTCTAACATGGACTGAACTCCTGACAGCATGCCTGAAATCAGGCAAAAGAGAGAATACTGTTAGCACCGAACGTCAAAACACTGCAACTGTTGCTCACTCTCCAAATAAATTAAACTTCCAAAGTGAAAGTACAAAACAAACAAACAAATAAACAGGCATCTGTTTACACTGGATTCTTATTCAGAGGTGCAAATATCACAGCCCCATAAACACACAGAGTCTCAGTAATCATCATCTTCATCCTCTTCAGGCACAAACTCAAGCTCATTGTCATCCCCGCCATCCTCTTCGTCGTCTTCCTCCTCTTCATCATCATCTTCCTCCTCCTCTTCTTCCTCCTCCATATCATAATCTACAGCGGCATTCAGCAGCAGTTTGGTTTGATTGATCTCGCTCTCATCATCAAGGTTGATTTGAACCTGAAAGCAGAAAAATAGTTGATGGCACCTTTAAATGAAAAATTATATTCTATTTTACGATAACAGACTATTGAATATAATCATATAAAACCATGCAGTCAGTTTAACAATGCAGTTATACGGGTTGTTGCAAAGGGCTCCTTTAACTCTTCATGTTTATTATTATACATTTTGATCTGAATATCCTGTTATATCCTTAAAGCAGTTTTAGTAGAAAAGCTTGTTAATATCTCTAAACTAATGCTCAGAGAAGATCTATTTGTAAAAAATACGTAATTTTGCCAAAACGAGTCATAAAAAAACTGCAAATGCCAGACAAGGCAATTAACTCTGATTATAACATACTCAAATGCAGCAATTAATGTTTAGGGCTGTCAATGTATTACATCATGTATAGTTATGGTAGTAAATCTGTACCATCTGATTTTGAATTTCTAAAGCAGAATTTTTTTGCATCAAAATCAGACTTTAATTTTCAAAACCATCGAATTTCAAGCACACATTTTTATATCTTACACTTGTTTTTTTTCCCCACAATGATGAAATGAATTCAGTTTTTTAGAAATCGGTCTCAAAATACTCGTGTAGTAAAAATTCGAAAAAAAAAACTCAACTTGAAAAAAAAATTCAGTGTAAAACAGACCGACTCAACATCCGGGTAATCAGGAAGAAGCAAACGATTCCTCAACCTTCCACTGGGATCGGTGCCACATGACCAATCTAGCATTATTTGATTGGCTGGATGATGGATGATTGAGCCAGGGATTGATTGCTCTCCCTGGTTACCCGGATGTTGAATTGGTCTGTTTTACACTGAATTTTCTGACACAGAAATTTTTTATGTAGAATTTTTTTTTTACACTGTTTTTTTTAAGTTAAATTTTTACTAAACAAATCTTTTGAGAGACTGATTTTTTTTTAACTGAATTTATTTTATCATTGTGAAAAAAAAGTGTCAGAAATAAAATGCGTGTTTGAAATTCAAGTTTCGAAATTCAAAGTCTGATTTTGATGCAAAAAAATTTCTGCTTTAGAAATTCTAATTCATAATCAGATGGCACACATTTACTTCCATATATTGTTGACTTAAACACATCTCTGATGCAAGAAATACTTTATTAAAGAGAGACTGTCTTTCTGAGATTGAGCAAATCGGCAAAACACACAGTCGCTTAATGTGTCAGACATTTTAATCACACCCACTTCAATGTAAATTATTGGGAGTGTAAATAACTAAAAGTAATGTTTAAGTGACAGATAATAATCTCTCAGCAGCTAACATGCTTGTTCACTGATGATTTACCTCCGTTACTGGGAGCGAGTGTGGAGTGGCATCTGCTTCTTTTTGTGCGTTGATGATAGATTTCAAGGCCCCTTCTTCAAACTGAAACACAAAAAATTCATATTCATACTTGTGTAACCCACTGGTGGCTGATAACACAAACCTAAACACACACTGAGAACTCCACTCCTACCTTTAACCTGTTCAGCTGATCTTGCAGCATGACTTTGATTTTGAGGAGGGTCTCCTCTTCCTTCTTCAGCTCCTGCAGACGGCTGTGCATCTTTGTGCTTGCTGCAGCTGTCAGACCATAACGAAACACTGAAGGAGAAGAGAGTTAATGTGCAGTTATGTAAACAAAGGGGACGTGGTCGGCCTGTTTTTTCATCTATCATGATGTTTTACAAAACCATTTTCATTTGACATCACAGATCAAGACTGAAAATGATACAGTCAGGAATACAACTGGCATGTGCTGGTGCAAAAGTTAAACACCTGTTCAGGTAAAACAATAAGCTAGGTTATCAGTTACGCATGTCAACCATTGTTACAAACACATGTAGTACAGTACAATGAAATATTTATAATAACAATAAACCGATACATCTTTGGCATCGATAAATAAGCAGTTAAGCTTTCACAATATGCAGCAAATCAATTGTATGAAAAGCTAAACTGGCTTGTAAGTGCTAGCTAATTCACGGGGAAAAAACATGTTTGGCTAAATCGCAGTATTGTTACCACCAGATTATATTTTGCTCCTGAATCAACCACGTAAAGCCCTAAAGTGCAGTTTGAGACCATTACCTCTGTGTTAAATGCGGGCTACAGCTCCATACCAGCTTAGAAACTGAAGACACAACAGGTCATGCGCTTCTAGCGGTGTTGATTTCACAAACAGGTTAGCAGCACATGGGTTGGTTGTTGTGTTACAGCTCAGGCTACAGCTAAGAGCTAAAGTTTAAGTGCTGTGGTAATGTGGTCATTTCCGGGAGTAATGCAGCATTTAAAGCTGTAGGACATTTCAGTTCCAGTCTTGATAGCATGGTTTATATATTATGAACGACTGTAATTATAGAACTGCTTGTTCTCTGACAGAGGAGTGTATTTGTGGTGAACATTTTCCCCTCAGAAAAGTTATTTCTCAAGAAAAAAAAAAAAGGATTAGTGGTTTCTAAACGAATTTTGCATCATTTAAGTCAAATTCTTTTAAGTCAAATTTAAGAACTCACTTTTACAGACTCGCTTTTATGTGATGCCGTCTTTTCTCTTCGACTTACTGTCCTTTTAGCCTTTGTTTTACTTATAATCTTTTCTTATTTATTCCTTGTAGGCCTTTATTGATTTTATCGTTTTTTTCTTGCTCATTTTTGTTATTCCATTTTATTCCATTATTATTTTATTATGATTTTATTATCATTATTAATATCATCTTTTTGTATTTACTATCCTGTTTCCTGCTTTCTACCCCCTTTTTTTATTACATTTCTTTTCTTACCTATATTGTGTTTTTATTTTGGTCCTCATGGTCTTATTTTTAAGGGTTCTTGTATTGTCTGGGTTTCTTATGACAAATCAAACTGGCCTTTAATTTGGAGGCCTTGTTTTTAACTGAGCTTTTGTTTTTTTATTTGTTTTTATTTCCATGTGCTGATGCTGTGCAACTGTTTGTCGAAGCACTTTGTAAACTTCTGTTTTTAATAGTGCCATACAAATAACGTTATTATTATGATTATGATGATGATTATGACAATAATAATAATAATAATAATAATAATAATAATAATAATAATAATAATAATAATAATAATAATATTGTTGTTGTTGTTGTTGTTATTATTATTATTATTATTATTGTTATTATTATTATTATCAAACATCTATTTCGTGTGTTACAATTTTCAAGCACCGTATTAACAACTCTTATCAGCACATGCTTGAGAGACTATACCACCAAAGCGCAGAGTAAGCTATATATCCAAGCTAATCTCTCAAAATGGAGCAATCTTCTTTTTGTGTAAAAAGGCTGATTCCATGAAATACCACCTTTTGGAGGGGCAAGTGAACGCCGCATTCCCAGATGACGGATACCAACTTTGGCGACATCTTGTGGCCATAGTTATTAAATATTTTCTCACTAATTTGAAAACGAGTTTGAAGGTGAGTTGAGCAGAGTGGTTCAACTGCATGAAAAACAAGCAGTCAATATATTTAAAGTGGAAGTCACACTAGGATTCCAGACGTTACAAAAATACAATCAGTGCAACGTAATTTGCACGTATCAACTTAATAAACGTGCCAACGTGCTGTCCTTGCGTCAATTTGAACAGGTAAGCTAACGGCTGGGCGTATTTCTCGTTGAGTCGGTTATAATGATAATTTCTCCCGTCTTTTCAAAGAAAGGTTTGAAGTGGCAGGTGTCAACTTTACGGCATTTGGACACCTAATTTGTAACAAATGTAGTTCACGGTGTTAGTCTCTCTCATAAAACACAAGGGTCACATTGTTGAGAAGCAAACAGGCCTTAAAGGAGAGGCCTGCTAGCTGCTTTTCCTCACCGTGTTCTGGGCCTAACTGAGCCCATATGCAAGGAATAATTTTTCTGCTGGCTTGACATCAAATGCTGGTTTTGCTCTGTTTTACTGCATGAATAGTAAGAGTGAAAAACACCTGAAAGACAAAGATGATGATAGAGTTGATGGAAAAGCAGAATTGTGACAAAATGTGTATGTTTGTGGTTTAGAAACATGATTTTTGTTACAGTTTATGGAGAAAAAAGATAAAGAAACCCATGAAAGTCCCTAACCTGCTTATAAATAAAACTTCTACACTGTTGCTCATAGGGTATGGCAGTCACCTTCAAATAACCTAACCCCCTCTATACTGAAAAAGAGCCGGTAAAGTAGATAACAAATTCAATGAATACTTAAATAGATCGCAGATGTAAGTCACTGATGTGAAGTAGATCTGAAACAGCTCTTAATCAGCCTTCAAAAAATGTACGAAGAGCCCATTAGGTTCTTTATAGGATTCCTTCACTAAGTCCATCCAGATGTGTGCGTTGATAATCACAGCACGCGGGCACAACTGGAGACTGTTGGAGACAATGGAGTCCTGCCAAGAAGAGAGAGAGAGGCAGGGACAGAGACATAGCTTTCCCTGTTCACACTCGTGAAATCTGAACTACTGTAGGTTTCCTGAACCAGATGTATTCAAGTGATGTGCCAGACCATAATTTCAACAGGACAGGTGATTAAAATGGGGTGAAATGTAACACCTTTTCAACACTCTTGGGAATTTGCCAGTGTGTCTTATGCTGAGATATTGAAAAAATAGGTAAAACATGTCATGCCGTTGTTCTTATCTGCATGCGTTGTGTGTTATTTTCAGGCAAGGAGCAGAAGCAGCAGCCCAGTGTAATGCAGTAATCTCACTAAAGATCCAGTACCACCCCCAGATAATGCAGCAGGGAGGAAGAGAGGACCTGTCTTTGATACAGGTATGACTTAAAACATTTATTCAGATGCAAACGATCAAGACTAGAGTGTTTCAAATTTGTGTTAACCAAAAAATATATGAATTGGCTGTACACTACATCACTGGACATTAACAGTGCTGTGATATTAGTCTGTGTAAGAACATTGTTGTAAGTCCCAGGCACATGGGAGCCTTGGGAGGGGGAAACTGGAGCTGTGTGTCGGCGTACTTGAGACCTGAGGGTTTTGCAGGTCAGACAGAAAGGTGCTCTGAGTCCTTTGCCCCGCCATCCCAGCTGCTAGCCAGCGAGCGCAGACATGAGAGGCCCTCTGTGGCATGACAGGTTTACTTGGAGCTGGTTTCAGCAGCTCGGAGGTGCCTAATGCTGTACAGTTATCACTCCACTCCTTGAGCCACAGTTGCTTTTTCCTTGTCATCACACGGACTCTGTTCCTGCTACATTGCAGTTTCTCCCCAATCAAAGCCTTCCTTGGCAGGGCTCAAGCCTGGTGCTGAGGTCTGGTGGCAGCTGATGCTGGGGCCCAGTCGCCCTGCGTGCCACTATGAGTGGTGGTCTGCTATGCTTGTGCAGCGATTGAAGGTGCTCCCACCGCCTGTGGAATGCAGTGCTGGGTGTGCTGGATGAGGGGCCTCCCAAAAGGGAGAGGAGGAAAGGGGGCGGGGAACACAGAGTAAAAGAGAGAGAGAGGAGGGGGATGACCTTTGAACAGTGCCGTCAGGAAGTTATGACTCAATTTTCAGTCACGGCTGTAAAACAGAGTAAGTGCATGGAAACATTGGAGGGATGAAAGATAGAGGCAGGCAGATTTTAAGATGAGGCCCAAAGAGATAAGATTGTAACCGCGGTGAGGGGTTCGGGGGTCATTATGGTTGGTGAGTGGATGTGGAATCAGGGGTTCCCTTGCAATCACAGCTGATGAAAACCAGATCCTGCCGAGCACCGTTCATCATTTGTTTCTTGTACAGGCACAATAGAGCCTTACTCTGAAATCTGCTTGTGTGAGACAAATATTTACAGCTAACGTGATGCACCGTAGGTCAAGACATCTATGGAGGATGAAGGAGTGGGGGTGGCGGCGGCGGCGGCGGCGGCTCCGCTCCAGGATGTTCCCTCTTAAGCATTATATTTAATGTGTACAGGAGCCATTGGCGCCTACGGTATGAAAGGAAAGAACTCACGTGGAGATGCAGAGATGTGGAGGAGCCTTTGTTTCAAGGAACCCCCTCAACCTTTACCTTTCCTGTCCCGCACTCCCACACAAACACGTTCATGTAAATTGGCACGCACACACACAGTAGGACAAATCTATAAGAGTGCAGTCTTTGTAATCAGCACAATCTGCCGCACGTACACAGAGTCACAAAGGTGTGGATGGATGCTTTAGTGGTGAATAAGTGGATGTATATGTATACTGATACAGATCCATGAATGCACATTATGAGGTTAAAAATACCCTTTAAAAACACACACACTGTCTGCAGTGTCAAAACATGGATATACTGTGATTTTTCCAAGTGATAGTTTATACTGTAGGATTAAAGTATTTGGTGGGAATCATCTTCTTGTACAGGGTGGTGTTGAATAATATTGAGCTCTTTGCATAATGAAACCTTTCACACTGAATCAGTCAGCTGCTCCATCCCAGTAGGCAGGCTGTCACTGCTTAACTGGAGATGATTGATAACAGTGTTAATCACCAGATTAACCACAGCAGCAGGGTATGATACGCCATGTGGTTTTAGTCTATCAGCACTTGTACATGTATTTGTGTGTGTAAGTGTATGCCAACTTCCACGGTGCCATTCTAGCTATGAGGCTGCCCCCAATTGTCGAGTATGAGTTTGAAAGTAAGGCATCACTCCCCCACTACCAACTCATTTGTACTTTCACACCAGGAGACACTTTTCTGAGCCCCGTGTCTGTCAAGCGAAGAAAATAATATTTTCCAATGCACAGATTTATTTTCAGTCTGTTCATGTGGCGGATACTCGGCCCCTATAGTTCCACTGATCTGCCCAGAGAGGCTGAAGTTCTTGCCGTGAAATTGGAAAGGATGTGCAGCATGTTGTGATCCTCGGGAAGTGAAAAAGCAGAATGACAGAGCTGTGGAGGTCTGCCTCTGAAAGTACGTCAGACTCATGGAAAACTGAAAAGGCACTCAAGATGTAAGGCGATCCAACGTAACCACAGTAAAAAAGCCTGTTGATTTAAGTTGGGCCGTATCAAGCGAGCTTCTTTATGTCGCAGCTCAGGGAATGCTTCAGATCACGGCATGAGGTTTGCTTCGTGATATGTTGTGGTTTGGTCAGAGCGGGCAGGAGGGAGTTCGGGGCAGGGGCTGAGGGGATTGCCTCTGTCACAGCTGAAATTTGTAAACTAATTGACCACCCGTACACAGCCGTCCTGTTCCCTTTGGCTTTTCTCTAAAGACCCACAAACAAACCCAGATCTCAAGAGCAACTCTTGCAAACCAGGTTCACTGACTGTAGTGTGATTAATTAC